TTTTTAAGGTGTTATTTTCTTCAGTATTTTTTGGGGGGTCTCCTTTAGCAAGCTGTTGATATGTTTCATGATTTTCTTGCATCATTCTTATTTCTCTTCCCAGTTTTTCCTCTACTTCTCTTATTTGCTTCTCAAAATCCTTTTTGAGCTCTTCCATGGCCTGAGACTGATTCATATTTTTCTTGGAGGCTTTGGATGTAGGAGCTTTGACTTTGTTGTCTTCTTCTGGTTGTATGTTTTGGTCTTTGTAACCAAAGTAAAATTCTATAGTCTGAGTTTTTTTTCCCTGCTGTTTGCTCATGTTCCCATTCAATTACTTGACTTTTAAAGTAGGCCTCTGCTTCCAATGTGGAGGGTGTACTGTCCCAAGCTTCAGGAGTTTTGTGCAGCTTTGTGTAGGTTTTCAGAGATACTTCTAGGGACCTGTAAATTTTCAGTTCTTTCAAGGTTGTATGATCAAAGTAGAGGTGTTTACTCCTTTCCTGGCCTGGGCTCTGGTCTGTGAGTGACCACAAACATTCTTTTCTGCCTTGGAACTGTGAGGAGGATTCCCTCTCCACTGCTGCCACAAACTCTCTATGCTAGTGCTCCTCTAGCCCCAGGACTGCCATCCAGGACTGTGACCCAGATCCAAGCACGGGCAAAGCAAGAGAATCCTGCCTTAGTTCCAGCAAAGAGATTTCTGCAGTTCCCCTCTTATCAGCCACTTGATCCCCCCTCTGTCTGTGGGCTGAGAGCTCCGGTAGCAGTTTGTGGTGTTCCTCTTTCACCTAGATTCCACAGACCTTTCCCACTGACCTTCTAAGTTGTTTTTGGTGTTTGTGGGTTGAGAAGTCTGGAAACTGCCACAGCTCCCTGTGATTCAGTCTCCTGAGGCCTGCTCCAGGTTCACCAAGGCCTGGTCTTTGCCTGGTTGGCCCATGCTGAACTGCACTTCTCTTCCAGCCTGGAGCAATAGACCTTTCCTATCAACCATCCAGGTTGTCTTGTGCTGGAAATTTGTTTCACTCTGTCTTTTTGTGGGTTCTGCTGCTCTAGAATTTGTTTAGAGTCATTTTTTACAGCTATTTGGAGGGGCTTAGGGGAGAGCTGAAGCAAGTCACTTCTTTTACTCAGCCATCTTGGCTCCACCTCAACATTACATTTTAAAACTAAGTTCATACGTGGTCTGCAAGGATCCTCATATAAGGTTTAATGACCTCTCTTTTCTATTTGAACTTGACACCATTGTTCTGGATAGTAGCTAGAGGACTAAAAGTCTCTAAGTCAAAATAACATGCATATATATATACACACACACACACATACACACACACACACACACACACACACACACACATATATATAACATGCTTGGAGAACATCCATAGGATATATGGGTAGCCATGAGTCTGATTCCAGGGGATGAAAACCTGGAAAAAAGACAAGGAGGTAAGGATGTATGCTTAGGTAGACAGAAGTCCACATAATAGACCAAGGAGACATTATAGTGTCCATGAAATATGAATCTGGTTTTAATATTTGACATTCCTGAGGCAGATGGCAAAAAATTAGGATTCCACTCCAGATAAGAAAGATAAGTACCCTGAGTGTTGATTGAAGCATACTTTTTAAACTTAATTTTGTGTGTGTGTATGTGTGTTTTCTTTTGTAACATAACTGATATGGAAATATATTTTGCATTCCTTCACGTGTATAATTGATATTATATTGCTTACCTTCTCAATGGGTGAGGGAGGAGCAAGAGGAAGGGAGAGAATTTAAAACTTAAAATTTTAAGAATGAATGTTAGAAAAAATTTTTACATTGGGAAATATTAAACAAAATAAATAAAATATATTTAAAAAAAGAATGAGTAGCAACAACTTCTGTCTTTAAAAAATAAATTTAAAAAAGGATTTGCATATTCCTAATGAGTACCTCAATAAGAAAACATATTACAAGCTTGTTCTTGCTTTTATGAGAGTACTTTTCTTAGAACTATATTTAAGTTTGTGTTTGAAAAACTTTAAAAATTAAATATAGCAAAGAAATATTTGCACACCTAAACTGTGGAGGTTGTCATATATTGAATACTGCCTAAAGTTGACCCTTTCATGTTTTTAAATCCCAAATTTGTTGAAAGGGCATATATATCAGGTATGGGCCTCTTTTGTGGCACTGAATGCTTGAATCTCTGGTTCCCATTCTTGTTTTCCCTTCAGTGGGACTGTCCCTCTCTCAGTAAAGGTATGAGGAGGAGGAGGAGGAAAAGAAGGAGGAGAAAGTAGGTGAGGTGGAAGAAAGATAAAGGAAGAGGAGAAAGAAGGGAGCAGAAGAAATCCTTATTCATTTTGATAGCAAGTGCATTCGTTTTCACCGTCATTTATGATTAACCTATTTTCAGAATGAATTTCATCAAAATTTCCCCCCCAAATTAACATTCCAACAAGTATATTCATTATTTAACCATAAATTCTATTGGCGGTAACAGGTTCACATCCCTCCTTAAAATACCTTTGGTTTTGCTATTGTGGTCAGTTTACTTAAAATATTTTCCTCTGATACACTTGGCCCTTCTCAGCAATGCAAAGATCTAAGACATCTCCAAAAGTCTCATGAAGGAAAATGCTGTCCACATCCAGGGAAAGAGCTATGGAGTTTGAATGCAGATCGAAGCACACTATTTTTTACTTTTTTTTTTCTCTCTTGTTTTGTTTCTTCATCTCATCCCCATAGAATCCTTCGATTCCCTAAGTTCATCTCAGGTACTCTGCCTCTCAAATGAACAAGCTTTCCAGACCCTCCACTTGCTGGTACTTCTCAAATGATTTGTAGCCTATATCTGTGTACAGGTGGGCAGGGACTTAATTATTACTATTTTTTTTTTGTCTGTGGAGCCTTGGTGTCTAACCTAATGTTTTGCAAATGGTAAGTACTTCATAAATGCTTATTGGATGGGAAACAGAAGCAGCAGTAGCAACAACAACAGCAACAACAACTCTGATTTGCAGATGAGGAAACTGAAGCTCAGAAAGTTAAGGGACTCCCCCAGGTTCACACACCTAGTGAAAGGACTGCTCTGGTCTTTTGAATTTCCAGTGAGTATTCTTTTCCATTCCCCCAGGCTGCCTCTAATGGTTAACTTAGAGCCCAGTCTCTGCACAACTTGAGAAAGACAGATCTGGAAACCAATGAAGAGCTTTAAATAGTGATTCAGAAAACTACCTGTAAATTCCACTTGTGATGTGTGCCATGTTTCTTTAGCCTTATGATGATGGCAAACTTAATTCTCAGTTGATAAGCACTACTTTAGGTTATTCTTAAAATAATAAACTTGTTTTTAAACCAAATTGTCAAAAGAAAGAAGCTCTGTTGTTTATTAAATTCTAAATGCCAATAGAGATTCATTTTCTAATGTTGAGGTCACTAATTTAGAGAGTAGGTGTATTTCCTTAGGGATTTTCTAGTCTAACCTCATTTTAAAGATCAGGAGACTGAGGGAGCCTGAGAAGGTTAAGTGATTTACCTTAAGATCACTCAAGTTATCAGTGGTAGAGTCAGGATAACAACTACTTATGGGCATGCTTCTGAAATTTCCTGTCTGTAATCTTCAGTTAGTCTTGCTAATAAGCTTTGGGTCTTTTCAGACACATTCATGACTTCAAAAGCATAAACGTTCCTATGTTGGTCTTTGGTCTTAAAGTAATTATTTAGTTTCTCATCATCAGAGTTTGTAGTTTTTGCTATCTGACCAAATGAAAATATGAAAATAAAATTTGCATTCAGGAAACTTTTTTTACCTAAGTACTGCGTTTATTGTGACTCTTTGGGCTATAAACCTTTTGCTGTTCTGGAGTCCCTAACTACAACTTTGCCTAGGTGCAGGAGGTAGTTTTTTCTCTAATTAGGAAAATGAATTGGAACTAAATATTTGGGGATGCAAATGAAAAGGGAAAGAATGTATTGAGGCCTGAAATTGGCACACCGGGCTTCTTGGTCTACTCATTTCTTTGTACATCTAGCTTCCTCTGATCCCAAGGCAACTAGATTCAATTCGTTTCAAAGGGTTTTTATTAAGGGCCTCATTAAGCACCTCCTAGGTGGAAGGTACTATCCTTAGCCACCGGAATACAGAGAGTAAAAACTGAATGAAGCAGGCTCTACACTCAGGCTTACATCTGAGCTTGAAAGCTAATGTGGATGGACCTCGTGTCAACGACACAAAATAATGACGACAACTAGTATTTTAAAGTTGCAAAGAACTTTATAGATGTTACCTCCTTTGAGTCTCATGTCCTCCTTGTAGGTGCCTTCACAATCCTTATTTCACACATAGGTCAGAGAGAGGTTAAATGATTTGTCCAATGTCATCAGGCTGGGAGATGTTTGAGGGAGGATTTGAATTCAGGTCTTCCTGTTTTAGGGTCTAACACTCAGTCCACTGTGCCAACTGGCGGCCCCCATATTCAACTGGCACATTCATCAAGTTAATTGCATTCACTCAATAAACACTTATTAAATGCCTACTATATGCCAGGTACCGTGTTTTGGAAACACTGTGCAGAACATGAATGGTTCTATTTTCTAGAGTGGAAAACTGATGCTCAGAAAGTTTCTGTGATTCATTGTGGTTCGTGACTCCTGCAGGCCTACAGACAACGTAGCCTGGAGATAATCAGGTGTGTCTGCCTCCCCTGCTTTCCCCAATAAAACCACACTACCCAGGTGCGTCTAGGCTGAGGCATCCCGGGACACTCGAGCCCTTCGGTGTCTTGGTTGCTCCTCCGATACCCATTCTACGCTGCCTTTTCACCTCGTCCCTGCCTTGCTCCAGGGTTAGTGCACAATATGTTCCTAAATAGCCACTCCTGGCTGTGGGCACCTGTCAGACAGGTGGCTCCTACGCCCATTTCTCTCCCCTTCCCCCGCCCCATGCAATTGCCCCAACAGCTGTCGGCTGAATTGCAGACAACTAGAGAATTCCTCGTCCCAAATCTATTTGCCTAAAGTCGGGATTCCGGACTTGATCAGAAGCCTGGAGAGGCTTGCCACACCTGGGACACATGCACTCTAAGGAGGCCGCTCCCATTCCGCTCCCGACTCCCACCACCCCAAAGGGCTCTACCCCCAGCCTGGGGCCAGCTCGCCGAGTCCAGGCTCTACAAGCCAGCTGCGACTCTTGGACACTTTCTTCTTTCACTTTTCTTTTTAGCACCAGAGAAGCTTGTTTCTCTTGGCTCTTGGGGAAGACCTGTTGACCCTGAAAGGCGGAGGGCGGGCTTCGGCGCAGAGCCGTGCAATGCTTTGGCTGGGAGTGATCCTGGCTGTCACGTTTTTTCTGCTCCAGCCGCGGCTCTTGCCCGCGACCTCACCGCACCCCAGAACCTGCTTGCAAGCCGGGACCCTATGGAGGTAAGACCTGCGAGTCCTTGGCTCGGAATGGCGGAGGTGGAATGGGCGTTGTTTAAACAATTTGAAGGTTAGAACCCTCAGTCATTCTCAGATCTGGGTATCCGCCAACCCCGTGACCCCTACCCCACTCCAGGAGGTTGCCTTGGCCATGCCCCGTGCGGCTTTTTTCATTTTCTTCTCTCTTATCCCGGAAACGCCCTAGCTAGACTTCTGGGCCCCCAGGCTCTTTACTTATTCGCCTGAGGTTTCTATGATTTGGAGGTAGCAGAGGACCTCAGAAATCAAATCACCTTTGTGATTTCATAGAAGAGAAAGCCGAGATTTGCCCAAGGTAATCCGCCTGAGAAGTAGCAAGACCCGAGACTGGAACAAACCCTCCATCCCAAGAGTCCACCTCCAGGCACCTGGCGTCTACCCCAAAGGATTCCTAAGCTCTTTCCCTCGCTGCTCCCCTATTTCTTGCGCTCCGCTCCCTCCGACCCTGCCTTCTCTGCCCACTTCCAGTTTCTTTCCACCATCCCCAAGTCGTAGATCTGCTGCCCACTCCAGTTTCTGCTCCGGGTGACAGGAACCCTAGCAGGGGCAGCGAGAAACTGCGCTCGAGGGGTTTGGCCGAGAAGTCAGGCAGGTGGAGGGGGAAGATGGGGAGGGGAGGGGAGCGCGCTGGCAAATCCGGGAACTTGTTGGTATTCTGAGAACAGTCATGCTGGCAAAACTGCGCATCGAGGTTGGCAGTTGACAGTTCTCACAGTAACTATTGAAAGTGTGGAATCACCATTCTCTTTCTCTTCCTCTTCCTCCTCCTCCTTTGTGAGTGTGTGTGTGTGTGTGTGTGTGTGTGTGTATTTGAGGGGTGCATGATTGTCTTATTAGCCAACTTTCCCCTTACTGACTTGATCAGATAAACACTTCCTCAAGAAGAGTCCTTTACGGGGTAGAGTATTGACCTAGAACTCTTTCCCTCCTCTTCTACTCCTTCTGGCTTTCAAGTCTCAGCTAAAAGTCCCCCCTTCTGCAACAAGCCTTTCCCAGTCTTTAGTGCCTTGTCTCTGCCACTATCTCCAATTTCTCCATTATCTCCCCTCCACCCAGCCTCTCCTCCCCTCCTCCCCTTCTTCAGATAAGGGACTGTCTCGTCTTTCTTTGTATCCCCAGTGCCTAACACAGTGCCTGGCACATAGTAGGCGCTTAATTAACACTAGTTGACTGACTACCTTATTCTTAGCTCACCTGGATCTCGAGCAAGTTTGTCGATCACACACGAAGTGGTCCTTGGAAAAGACCAGATCTCCTTGGGAAGAAATGCAGATGTCATTTATTTTGACAGCACCTTTCTTCCAAAGTTTATTTACATCTTCATCCCCCTCCCAGAGATGGCCACCATTAGACACAAAAAAGTGTGTGTGTATATATATATGTATATGTATATATATATATATAAAATATATATGTGTGTGTGTATACACACACACACATATATACACATACATATATGTATGTGTATATGTATTATATATACATAATATATATGTAATGTAGATGTATACATATATGTATGTGTATACATACATATATACACATACATACATGTATGTGTGTATATGTATATGTATTATATATACTTAATATATATGTAATACAGATGTATACGTATATGTGTGTGTGTAAATTTATTCTACTATTTCTATTTATCAGGTTTTTTTGTGAATACAGATGATTTTTCTGTATATGTCCTTTATAGTCAATTTGGGTATTTGTAATAGTCAAGTCAAGAGTCAACTAACACCGGTTGTTTTTCCCTTCAATCATTTTAGCCAATGTAATAAGTGTAAAATGGTATCTCAAGGTTTTTTTTTTTATTTGCATTTCTCTAATCAATGATGATTTAGAACATTTTTTCATATGACTATAAATTGTTTTGATTTCTTCATCAAAAAACTGCCTGTTCATATCCTTTGACCATTTATCAGTTAGGGAATGATTCATATTCTTACAGATTTGACAAAGTTTCTTTATGCATTTGAGATATGAAGCCTTTATCTGAGAAACTGTCTATAAAATTCTGCACCCCCCCCCTCAATTTTCTGCTTTCCTTCTGACGTTGGCCACATTTGTTTTATTTCTACAAAACCTTTTTAATTTAATGCAATAGAAATTATCCATTTTACACTTAATGTCACTCTTTATCTCTTGTTCATAAATTGTTCACCTATCCTTAAGTCTGATAAACAGTATGTTCTGTGTTCTTCCAATTTTTTTTTTGTAGTATCTCTCTTTATATCTAGGTCATGTATCCATTCTGATGTTATCTTGGTAAATGGTGTAAGATATTGGTCTATGTCCAGTTTTTGCAATACAGCTTTCCAGTTTTCCCAACAATTTTTGCCAAATAATGAATTCTTATCCCAAAATTTTAAGTCTTTACACTTGTCAAATACAAAATTATATTTATTTGCTGCTATAAATTGTATGTCTGCTGTTTTCCCTAATCATCTTTGGATATAGACCTAATAGTGGTATTGATCGGTCAAAGGAATAGGCACTTTAATAACTTTTTAGGTGTAATTCCATATTGCTCTTCAAAATGGTTGTATCAGTTCACGATTCCACCAACAATGAATTAGTGTCCCAATTTTTCCACATTCCCTCCAATGCTGGTTGCTTTTCTCTTCAGTCATTTTAGCCAATCTGATATGTAGAAAATGATAGTTCAAAGTTGTTTTAATTTGCATTTCTCCAATCAATAATGATTTAGAGTATTTTGATAGTGAAACAGATAGTATGTGTCAGAGTCAGGACACTTTATCCAATATACTTTATCTACTGCCTTGGAAGCAGGAAGGTGGCCCAGTGGATAGTGTTGGACCTGGAGTCAGGAGGCCCTCGGTTTAATTTACTTATGGTGTCTCAGTTTCTTCATCTGTAAAATGGGGATAATAGTAGCATCACATCACAGGATTGTTGTAAGAATCAAATGAGCCGTATAAATGATGGCTTCTTATTATTATGTCTGATTTTGCTTCCCAAGATTATTCTTGTTACAATTAGAAATTTATATGCCTTAGGTTGAAATGATAATAATTATCATTTATATAGCACTTTAAGCACACTTATAGAGCACTTAAGTGCTTTACAAGTGTCTCATCTGATTCTCACAACGAGCTTTTTTTTTGCAGATGAAGAAACTGAGGTAAACAGAGGTAAGATGACCTGCCCAATGTTACATAGCTAGAAAGTGTCTGAAGCCGGATTTGAACTTGGTTCTTCCTGATTCCAGGTTTAGCATTTTGCTGCTTTGTCACCTCCATGCCTCCTGACACAAACCTAGGTCCAGTTAGGGAATGGAACAAGCATTTATTAAGCACCTACTATATGACAGACATTGTACAAAGGATTTTATAAATATTATCTCATTTGATTCAATTATAACAAATCCAGAATGCTTTTCACTATATCATGCTGTCTTTTAAGGGAACTTAGAAATCACCTAGTCTTGCGGCTTAATTTTACAGACATGGAAACTGCAGCCCCCAAAGTTATTTTACCCCAGGGTCACAGGATTCCTAACCCCAAGTCTTCTGGCTGTAAATCCAAAGCTTTTGACAGTAAATCCAAAGTTCTTTCTACCATTCCAGACTCTGAGAGACTTGTGAGAGTTACTTAGCAACTCCATTGATAAGATTGTTTGAAAGGGTATTCCCTCCCATAGTTAATTACAAAATAAAAATCAGGTTTGTTGGGTGTGACTCCCTTCTATCTGTGGGTGTCTTCTTCCTAGCTGAGCAGAAGATGAAGGAAGGGAAACTTTTAATCCAGAAGGGATGATGCTGTATTAGTTATAAATGGCCAAAGGCAGTAAAGTGAGACTGGAACGGAGGGAGGTATTATGGGGGTAGGAACAGTAGGGGAAATAAACAATACCTTCAGAAAACAAGTGAATCTGAGGAGGCAAAATCCTTTCTTCATGAATTCTGGTCTTCAGTTCTTAATCTTAGCCTGATTTCTCAACCCAAACTAAGAGTTCTTATCTTATCTGGGCTTTTTCATATCGGCCTATTGCCCCTTCCACCTTCTTCCCACCCTCTCCATTCATTCTTTCTCTCTTTAGTGTTCTAACACAAGAAGTAATGATGCATGGCAGGATTTTTTTGTTGCAGAGTCTTGAGAATTTTTGGAGGTGGTGCATTGGATGAGAGAGGTCTCTTTTTGTTCTTCTAAATCTTTCTAGAAGTAGGTACTTACTCCCTGCTCTGAGTGGGGAGAAGGTGGAATTGATATGAAAAGAGGGACCTCTTCTAGAGGCTGTCACTCACTTTTCTTATTTCTGTCTCTATTAAATGGAGATAATATCATGGCCATCTTGCTTGCCTCTTCATTAAATGAAATGAATAAATACCACAGTTCTGATACTTACTGCCTATGAAACCTTGGCTGACTCTCTCAGACTCTTTGGGTTTTGGCTTCCTCATCTATAAAACTGGAGATGACCTCTAAGGTCCGATGTTTCACTGTCAAGCTATGATGCTGTGTGCTATCTTGATCACTTTTGAAAAGTGAACAAAAATTATTATTACCTTTTAAAAAATGTCTATTTTTCTTTCATGTGGTTTGTTGTTGTTTAGTCATTTTTCAGTCTCTGACTCTTCATGACCTCATTTGGGACATGGGGCAAAGATACTGGAGTGGTTTGCTATTTCCTTCTCCAGGTCATTTTACAGATGAGGAGCTGAGGCAAACAGGGTTAAATGACTTGCCCAGGATCACACAGCTAGTAAATATCTGAGGCCAGATTTGAACTCATAAAGATCAGTCTTCTTGACTCCAGGCCTGGCACGCTATTCACTGTTCCACCTAGCTGCCCCCATTTTACATGGTAACCTTTTAAAAATGTTAATGCAGGAAATATATTATTAGTTGTATGCTAATATTAATTGGTTTGGACCTGTGATTGCATCTGTGGGGTATAGAACTATCCTCTACCTTTGCTAGACCAGTTAAAT